CTGTGCTGAGGCCTAAGAAGCTAAAGATAATGTGAGGAGCTACTGCATTTTCCAGCTGTCTCATATGCTGTGATTTGGTGCATACAGTCTCAACAAATGGTTCATGCCTTGTAGGCTGGGTAGGCGTGGGAATGCCTTGCTTGTAGATCTGGTTAAGAAGTCTTAAGGGAGATCGGTGCCCAGTATGGTCAAGACTTGCACAATTCCAGGCGTTTTGAGGAAAGGATGTTCAATCGTGTTTGGAGCCCTCTAGAACAACTCAATGCACAATTGCTTTAGACCTGGAGCCATTTTGCCCAGATCCCATGCTTCTGACATTGCTTCCAATTTTGTTGTAGAACCTGTATTCTTTCTGATCTTTTGGTCTCTTGAGGCAATGTGCTGCTGTGGTTCCCAAACATGGAGTCTTCATGCAGTAGCATTCAGATCGATGACAGCTTTCCACTGAGCTAAAAAGCAACTTCAAAGGCCTGCCTCCGTATACACAGAGGATTTTGTGCTGATTCTCCACTCCTGCAGGCACCTAAACTCTATAGTTTCTATCTTAACCTTACAGAGTTGAGTACAGTACCCTGCATCCTGCTGAGTGGGCTTTGGGGAGATATATTACTGGCAGTCGGTCAAACTTGAGTAGCCTTAGTAGGAGACAGATGAATGGGAGAGTGTTTAGGATCTGAATTTTTGATTCAGATCAGTGGAAGCCTCTTATTGATTTGAATGGGCCACAAACAGTGCATTAGGAAGTCCTCTCAGCCCTCTTGAGAATTGCCTGGTTATTTTTTGAGTTTTCCCCAAGGTGAGGATGCCCTGGAGTGGCAGGACTTTAAATTTGTATGAGAATTTATCAGGTATTCATTAATGTCAATTATTCACATATTTTAATAGAAACCATTTGTTTTACGTAACCTTTTGTGGGGAAATCTCATTGTTATGCATGGTTGACTTTGTGCTTTTTCTATGGCTGTTTCACTTAGTTTTTTGAAATATGCATGAATGGTTTAGTGTAATTTAAAAACTGTTTATGTATAAACGTAGGCAACTGTCAACAGAACTATTGTCTCTTCAGTCTGCTAGAAAAATAATTCACAACATGCATGTAGGGGGCTGTGATTGCCAGAGCCTGTTCATGGTGACAGGTGTTGGATGTTCATCTGCTAATTTCTCATTAGAAACAATGTGGTAGGCTGGTGATGCAGTTTTGTCATTGGAGGCCCTGTCTTGATTTCTGTTTATAAAATGTATGGCTGTGTTTACTGAAATAGTTTAAAAAATAGTAGATGCGTTTTCAATTTTTAAAAATTTGTCATAGAACTATTTTAAGATGAAAATATTTGTTTTCTCATTGCCAACAAATATCTATTATCTGTGATCTGTAATTAGGCTCACAGCTTAACGTAAAGGATGAATGGTGCTCGCTGAGCTGCATCATTGGCCTTATTGTGGTAAAATGACCGATTTTGTTTTACCAGCTGTGACTTTGGAGGCAGGCTGAATGACAGGGAACACATAAAGCTCAACAGATTAAAATATTTCCACCACATAACTGTGTGTGTATCATTCAGAATTCAGCAGCAGTTCTTGCTTGATAAGCTTGCTAATGTCTTCATGTTCTAAGGAACATTGTGCTCCTGTATGGGGTGTCTTGTACAGGCTCAATCCTGCAATCCTCACTGAAGCAAAACTCCCAGTGAAAAACAGCATCAGTATGACCATGGAAAGCACTGAATACAAGGGTAGAAAAACTCCTTACAAGAGCAGTGCATCTGCCTAAGGAAATAGAGCATGTAGTTCTGTGACTAATTATGAATTATGGAAAGACTAAAGGAACAAAGACACAAAGTTGGGAAATAAATGCTGATTGCTCATCTTGTATCAAAAGAGGACATTTTCAAAAGACAAGCCCAATTATACTCGCTTTTTGCAATAATATTCATATCTACTTCTCACAATTTCCATCACTTATAGTAGAAAACAAGACTATGTTGTCCTTCAGATTCTTATATATATGGCAAGGATGACTGAGAGGTTGCATGCAGAGCATTCTAATTTTATATGAAAAGAGTAGAATAAGTTATGTCAGCAAGTTAACAAGAGGTAGCTTTTTAGTTTGTCTATGAATGTGTTCTGAGTACTGCAGAAACAGCCAGATGTTGGCTGATGCAAGTATACAAAATCCATATGTTGGATTTAACGTAGTCTGGAATCACAAATGGCCCTAGTTTGGTCTTCGAGCTGAAGTGGTGAGGTAAATGTTGCTTCTCTGTGGTTTAGCATCTGAGTATGTGAGTTGTTTTACCTTTTCTTTTTAATGTGATATGAATTGCAGGACATGAATTGCAGATATCTTAATGGATTATTAATTTCAAACTGCAAAAGACTTAGTGTGATCATAAAAAAGCTTAAAGTGAGTTACCCTTGCATACCCTGGCTTTTTGTGTTATCCTAGAACTTGAGTTTGAGTCCTTACTGCAAAAATCCACCTCTGGAGGTGCCATGGAAGCAATGGTGTTTTCTGTTGTCACCATGAAACAGTTTGTGGTGTCTTAGGCAAAGCAAAGGTAGGAAGCTGACCCTCGTATGCCCCTTTCTGGAAATCCTTTATGGACATGATGATAGAAAAGGGCGAGCCAATTTTGTACTTTGTAGTTAAGTAATATCTTTCATCAAGGGGAACCAAGGTGCTTTACAGATGCTAATGAATTACGGTTCTGGTCATGTTTATCAGCTCAGTTTTGTAGATGGGGTACCTGAAGCACCAGTTTAGTAACTTAAGTACAGAGGACCACTAGTTCTATGTTTTCACTACAAAGACACTAAGAATAGCATAGTATCTTCTGTCAAGAAATACAAACTTGTTAAGCTCAAGCAAATGATTAAATGTATTTTCTGAATGGCATCTGCTCTGCTGATCTGTTCTTCCATGATGAAATCCCACCTGTTTCCATCATGACATCTGCAACTGATTTAAGTGTGTCTTGTGCCTTTTTTCAAAAAGTTCCTTGTGAGATTATTAATACAGCCTCCAAACCATATGCTTTTTCTAAGCACCGTTGTTACCACCATGGAAAGACTTTAGGAACAGTGTGAACAGAAAAGACAAAACTACATATTTCATTAATAGTAACTGAACTTTTGAAAAAGCAAATTACTTTGCAGTGAAATTCAAGATTTCACAGCAAATATTCAGTAGACAGTTCTGGTATAATTCTAAAAAGAAATACACTGTACTTCACAGTACAAAAAAATCTTGGTCTTACCAGAATCCAAATTGTCAGATAGAGTACTATTCCTGCAAAATAAAGACTAAAAACATATACTAACCCCATCTTGCTGTCCCTTAAAGCTGTTTGCAGAACTCATGCATGTTGGGATGTGTGGATTATCATTACAGAGAAAGAGGTTTTTCAAGTTTATCTTTTTTTGATACAGGGTTTTTTTCTGGGAGTATCTCTAGAAATACTTTTCTGCATTTTTTTTATGCTTGTTAAAAGTCAGATTCTGTGATATGCATGAACATACGAGCCTGGCAAATGGAAGACAACCCTGAAGCATTATTGTCATTGAAAAGAACCAATCATATTTTTTTTCCTCGTGATAAATTTGATAAGTGATGCACATCTCAAACATTCTTGATTTCTTCGCTTCATGAAGAAAATTGTGTTCTCTGAGTCTTCTACAGAAGAGAAAAGTAATAACATACTCATCTCAGAAAATATGTCAGCCTGCAGTGAAATTAGAGGACTGCGTTTGTTTTGAATAGATACAGGTGAACAAAAATGGTCCATCTATTACAAAGCCACATTGTAATTTTTTTTTTAAACCATTTTGTTTGGATTTTTGAGGGTAATTGTTAAATGGAACTACTCTTTGAATGAATATGCATGAAAAATTCAAAACTACTGAGCAGATCAGCACTAATTTACATTGTTTATGCTGTTTGCCTTTTTGTTTTGTGAGGTGTTTCCAAGCAGTGTCATGCTGTGGAATGTGACCCTGGTATAAACGAGGTGATTCATGATACAATCCAGTATATTTGTGAGTGTTTCTGTCGTGGAACAAGTCTTATGGTGATTTTTTTTTTTCCCCTGCCAGTTCAGTAATATATGAACCTTTCCATTGAGCCCTCAAATGCAGCAAAAGACAAATCATTAAGGTTTCATAAAACACAAGTTTAATCTTAAAAAGTTAAATAGACTTCAGTACTTTATCAAATCTTAAGTTGCAGAAGAAACCTCTGGAAGATAATACGGTATAATATAATATGCGATTCATGAACACTTCCTGCTATAGGTTGGTCCACTTAAATTTGAGCCACTTAAAATTTGGTCCACTTGCTATGACCTGTAGGCCTTGCTCTGTATGTTTACGTAATGTAACTGTAACAGTAACAATCACAAAGGAAAGTAAGTATGTGCCAATGAAATTGGAACGCATCAGAGTTTAAAAGATTATTCTTGCGGAAGGCCATCTTACTATGTAATGTAAAAATACTGCCTGCTAAATGTTACTTTAAAAATAACATCTATTTTTAATAGTTTTAGAGTTTACAGTGTCATCCAAACTGAATACAGATTGAAATCCAGACTGAAAATCCTGCAGATTGTTGACAGTTTGGTAGTTCTTATGATGAAGATATCCATACTTAAAAAAGTTTTGGTCAGATTCAGTGGTCTGGGGTAAAGGGCTAAAGTGGTGTGATGGCTAGGTTAATGTTCCAGTTTCAGCTGATCCTTCCTGAGTCAGGCTGAATTGAAAGAGAAACCTTGGGAAGCACACTGTGAGCTATACTGACTACCAGCTTCAAAGGTATTGACATAAAAGGAGAGGGACATGAAAGGAGAAGAACTGTCAGTGAAGAAGCAGCAGCAAGAAAAACCCAACAGGCATCTGAAAGGGCATAGACAATTTGACCATTACTTTCTCAATCATCATTTTCTCTCTAGTGAGATAATTTCAGTAAACATTAACATTTTAAAACCCCAAACTTTGTATTTTTTCAGAAATCCTCCTCCTACTTTGCTACATCCTGAAAAATGGTGCAGAGGATTCAACCATTTCATTTCACAGTGAGTTTTATTTTCTTTTAAAAACAGCTTATTCAGCAAGGCCTATGTGTGTCAATCTGAAAACAGAATTTGTTTTATGGAGTTGTTGCTTTTGCAGTTTTTTAACTTCAGTTTGCTTTTCATAGATTCTAGACCATGCTTCACTTTTTGAAAGCTATACAGCACAGTTTGATCTTCTCAAGTAATTTGCCTCACAGCTTCTCTGAACTCCTTAGTTGATTTGCTTCTTGACTTTGATGGACCTGGGACAGGTTTATAAATATACCTGATTTCCTTGATGGTTTTGCAGGGAAATTTTGCATCAAGGAGAAAAAAGCGTTAGTGAAAATGACTGCTGGTCAATTTAATATAAGAATTTGGAAGACAAGAAAGAAAATAGTTGCCTTTTTCCACTTTGCTAATATTCAGTAGGTTGTATACCCAAAATATGTAATTGAGCACCAGTTGTACCAAGAGTGTAATGTGTCACCTAGATGGTACCAACTTTCTGGATGCAGCTGTCACTGAACTAAAATATGCTTTTGCTTTACTTTTTTCTTTTTACAATGAAACTAAGAAATCACAATTTAGTAGTTGCTAGCATTATATTCAAAAATCTTACAGCGACTTTTATGAGTGATTTTTAGGGTTCTTCAGGATTTCATTGTGACCTATTACAGCCTAAACTGTGTAACATGGGGAATAATATTATCAAACCCTAGGGAAGTTTACACTGTTCAAATAACCAAATTCTTTGAACACCGCTCCTCAGTATTGACTTTTCAAGATAGGTTTGAAAATATGCACATCTGCATTTTTAATCTGTTCTGTTTCTTAATGTATCTAGTTACTTGTGGAGGAGTACAACATCCGTACCTGATACCTTTTTCACTCAGTTGTGTAGTAGTGTCTTCCCGTTTTAGGAGGAGTTAAAAATAGAAAGACTAATGCAAATTTTATTAATAATCCATGAAAAATATTCTTATTTACTATGCTGATCTTTAATCAGGCGGGAAGGTGAGGTACACTGTAATGGTTGACCTACAGAGGAAGGCCATTACTATCTTTACTGCAATGTAACTCAGAATCTCTTCCAGTGTAGGTAGTAGAAGTACCTTCCTCTAGAGCAGGTTGACCCAAGTTCTGTTTCTGCGTAATGCGTGTCCTTGTTTACACAGCAGTGTACATTGTGATCTATGGTGGAATCAGTGTTTAATTACAAAAGTCACTGTGTGGTGGATGAATTCCATTCTATTACAGAGAAACATTGTTTTTACAGTATTTATGGACTGTACCCTATATTCTGGGGGACTCTAGGACTGGTGGGTTATATTCCACTTGTGCTTTAGATAGTCAGTGCACCTAGTAAATAAGATTACGTTCCTTTCTCAGAAACACTGTGCATTAACCTTCAGCACTGTTACACAGGTTTTTCTTTCTTGGTATCTCTGTTTTTAGAAGTCCCTGCTGAGCTTGAGAACAATACAAAAAACTAACATTTCTTAACATTTGTTCAGTCCTTTAGTTCAGCATGCACTGGAGAAGTCAGATGTTAGTACTTTATGGCAATACTTGTTTCTAATCTTCTCCTTTGGGTTTTTGATATCTTCAAATTGTGTATTTTTAATCACATTGATTTTTAATTGCTTTTGCTTAATTACTTTCTCTTACCAGCAATGTCTGCAGGTTCTCAAAACTTGCTTTTCATTTTTACAGTAATACACAGAATGAAGTAAGGAAGTATGCTCATATGCAGTCTCTTAACATGGAGAAATGCAACAATTGTAGTAAATATGCTGGGTTTATAGCTACCTTTAAGAGAACACCGAAATGGAATTCTCTGTGACATTGCATCATTCTCAGGAATGTGTTAGTAAAGTTATTATGATGCAGAGGTTACAAGATATTTTTTTGAAGGCTTGGATTTACATTAGTGGATTTTCTAGAAAAAATTAAATAATGAAACATTGGATCATACAACTGCAAACCTTTTAGCCACTACTGATAATTGGCTCATTTATATGCGTTAGTTCTGCATTTGTTGATGCCCACCTTCTGACAGCTTAGTTATGATAAATTAAAAGCAGTGACTGTATAAACTCCATACTGCCTTTTATCCATATGTTAGGACCTCGCCTGATGTTTCTGTCACCCTTGTGATGAGTGGTTAGCTTTCGAATAATTTCATTATCTGCCTCCTTCCTGATGGCTAACATCATTTGCATAACAAGCTTATCTGGTTCAAGTTGTGGGCCAGACCTGTGTACTGACAAAAACCGAGCATGCAGCTTTGGCTAAGCATACTTTTGACTTCAGTTCTGTTTACACAATAATTTTATTTATGCCAAGATTGCCAAACCTGGTCATTGTAGCTTTTTTCATCTCCCATTCTCATCCCTTGAAATGCAACTGTCTCAAGAGGCATTTTTGTTACAAGTGTTCTCTCACACATTATAGTGATTTACAACATGCCTGAGCTGGAAGTTTCAATGTACTTCTGTAGGTAACTCCTTAAACTGTTAAAATAGTATTCATATATTTTTCAGAAAAGAAGTCTGTATTTTAAACTATGACTCTGCTGCCCCAAGAGCTATGATTTTGCAGCAGCATTTTAAAGTCAAATGCATTATTTACAAAATCTGAATGGAGGGAAGGTCAAGATAGTTCTTAGCTTGGTGAATTCATGTTTCTGTTCCCAGCATTGTTGACCTTGACTTGAGATGAAGACTGTAATGTATTGTCCTCATAAGTGTTTTTACAATGAGATAGCTAATATGAGTTAGATATTTTGTTTTAAAAAATTACAGACAAGACACAATTTCAGCCAAGCCATCTCTGGCAGCAGCCTAATTTTGTATTTGGTATCTGTTGAGATACACACAGCACATATATACTTTTAAAAGGTCAGTAAAATTCTATGTATGCCTATTTATCAGTACTACTATACTTGTCCGTGGAGAACTTGGCTCCTCCACTCATAATGTGAGAAAGAATTAATTATCTGTTTATTTTTATCTGCATATTAATAGGGCTTACCATTCCTGTAAGGCCATGTAAACAACCACATCAGTTGTTGGAGGACTGGGTCCTAAAAACAACACACTTTTACCTGTGTTTATTTCTACGTTGAAATAAAATACCAGTTTTGAAGAGTTCACTCTATTCATTGCCCATGAATGTTCATGAAGCTTTTTTTTTTTTTTGGATGGCTACAGCATAGATGACATTGCTCTCTTACGATAACAGTTTGTGTCCACCACCACTTTAGACATACAATGCTTCAGAATTTGTTCATAAAATAATACAGGCTATATGTTAAAATGAATTAAAAAATCCCCATTCACTACAATTATCTCACATGATGCAAATAATTTTCTTGGCAGTTTAAACCTTGACTGATCTCTAAGGGTAGATAGAAGAGTTAATATGTTCTTGGAGGACAAGAATACAATAACCTTTATTTGCATTACATCACAAAATGGTAATTTTAATTAAAATGAGCAATGGTATCTCCAGGGACAGACATTCTCCTTTTAAATTTATTTAACCAATGATAAGCTATTATGGTTCTTCAAATTAATTAGTCATTCTTGAGCGGGAGGGAATTAAAGAATTAAGAAATTCAGGAATTACTAAAGTCAAAATGTGAAGTTACAGGATTTATGGTCACATTACAGAATGTAACTTTTGTTTCAGCAATGACATTGCAAATACAATACAAAAATAATTTTTAGTCTTGATAAACTTAATTTTTTTGTACTGAATTTAAACACAGCCTTGCAAGCTAAATTTCATATTGATGAGTCTACATTCAGAGTTATTCAATTAATAGATCATCTAGATTATATAGGTTTTAAGTGCTCCATTTAGATTTAATGTCTCTGAATGCAGATCAAATTTTTTCACAATCTAAGCAATTGTTTAGTGACATTCTGTTCATATTACATAAAGAACATTTTACTGTTTCTGTCACTGAGAACATGATATGCGTTTGACATAAGTCATTAATTTCAGTGTCTAAGAAGACAAAAGTTTGCAAATGTCAGAAGGATCCAAATTGCGATGTGTAAGGTTACTACCAATCTGTAAGTTTTCGTATTTTATTCATTGATGCAGACTCTGAGAATCTGTCTACAGATGAACTTGAAATACTAAATAGTAGTACCTGACAAAAGATCTCCACCGCTTTTGAGTATTGTATGAGACGTTTTTATACAGATGAATGGGCATACATAATGGATAAAATTATCTTCAGCTTTCTAATGAGCAGTTGTAGTAAAAAACTGCAATTTTAGGTAGAGGTGAGAAACTCCCATGAAGGTTTGAAGTCCTGACCCTGTAAAGAATCATGCTAGATTTTACAAATGTCATAGTACCAAAGTCTTTCACTCAGTAAAGTATACTGTTCAGTTCCTTACCATTAGTGATAAGCACTCATTCCTCCTTTGGTTCCCATGGTCTGTGGGTTTATTGACTTACTGTTCTCAATTGGAGACAGTAACAGTAGAAGTATAGTGTAGTGAGAAAGATATGTATCCATGGTGGAGTGACAAGTCTATTTGGGAAGCATTGGCAATTCTAGGAATAGTACGCTGCATAGAAGATTATAGTATCAGAGAGAGCATGTGAAGTAATTGTCTGATGAGACAAAGTTTCCTTACTCCCTTCTTCAAGCTCCTACTGTCATTAAGTGCCAGTATTTCAGTTTCTCTTGTAGTCTCTGCCTGTTGCTCTTTCACTGGGATGCTTTTTAAGCTTAATTCAAAGCTTTGATGTTTCTGCAGCTCTGTTATTACCATTTATTAGCATCATAGAATCATTTAATTTGGAAAAGATCTTTAAGACCATCAAGTCCAACTGTTAACCTATGGCTGCCAAGTCCACCACTAAACCATGTCCTCAAGCACCACGTCTACCCATCTTTTAAATACCTCCAGGGATGGAGACTCAACCACCTCCCTGGGCAGCCTG